GCGACACCAGCCAGGGCCGCGGGCCCGACGACCTGCAGCGCCTCGTGCCGCTGCTCGACTCCTCGCGTTTGGAGGCCCAGTGCATCGGGGCGTTCTATCTGTGCGCTGAAGCTGCCATCAAGAGTCTGCAGGGCAAGACCAAGGTGCGGGTGCGGGTGCGGAGTGAGGATGGGGGTTAGACAGCACTTGGGAAGGCTTCCCAAAGCAAGGAGAAGGATGAGGAACCAGTTATTCTGGTCTTGAAGGCAAGACCAAGGTTTTAAAGCAGAGGGACACGTGTTTTATAAAAATTACCCAGGTGCTGCCTGGAGATGGGATTGGCAAGGGTGAGGCTGGAGGAAAGGGGGCCAGATAGGAGGCCATGGCAGGGGTGCAGTTGGGATCGTGGGGGTCAGGACTAGTCCAGAGAGAGGCAAAGAGAAGTAGGCAGATTCCAGAGGTGCTGAAGAGCTAGAATTAGGACTTGGTGGGCAGCGGGGTGAAGGAGAGGGAGGAACTGAGGGTGACTCCTGACTTTGGACATAGGCGACCCAGTGGATGGTGGCATCAGGTTCTGAAATAAGGTGAGCTGTGTGAGAGGCAGGCTGGAGTCCCGGAGGGGAAGAGTGTGAGTTCACTGGGACAGATCGAATTGGAGGTGCATGAGAGATGAGCAGGTAGAGAGCTCCCGTGGGCCATTTTGTCATTTGGGTCTGGAGTCCAGGAAGGAAGGGAGTGTGGAGACAGAGGAGCAGGTTGTCAGTGTGTCCGCCAGAGAACTCCCACCGGAGTCCCCATAGGCCCCCGTGCCCAGGGCCTGATCTGAAACCTTTGCCCTCTTCTCTAACTTGCTGTGTGACCGTGGATATCTGGCTTCCCTTCTCGGGGCCTCTCTGTGTCTCATTTTTATCCTCTGGAAAATTGAAGGAGTGGACGGACCACAGCAGTAGTTCTTACCCTGGATATGGGACTAGTAATAGTTAAAGTATCAAAAGTCTGAAATTCTCCCCTGCAAAATATTACAGAATCAAGATTATTCCTATAGTGTCACCCTCCCTACTTTCTGTTCCTTTGGGAATTTGGGGGGTTGGTGACAGCTGGTGCACAGGGAGCGGAACACACCACATGAACCACCCTGTCTGTACCACAGCTGTCACCTAGGGCTGCTCAGAGGAGGGTGTCTCTCAGATGATTGTCATGCATCGTGTGTGTCCTCACAGATCAAGGAGATGCTTGGTGTTAGGGGGTCTCTGAGGCCCCCTCCAAGGTCCAATGTTCTAGGAGTTTCTGATTCTCCTCTCTGTGCCTGCTCCAGAGGTGGGCCATGGGAGGACTGGCTTTATAGAGCGGGTCATTTTACTTTGGGAGAAGAGCCTTGAGGGGAGTTGGAGTAGGGAAGTATTGGGCAGCAGCTATGACCACCAGCTCTGCACCCCTTTCCCAGCCAAGCTAGCGAGTGCAGTTCAGTAAAGACATAGTAAGCCCCCACTCTGTGGCCTGCAGTGTGCCAGGCACAGGACTCCTGGGGTGACTAAGACATGACCTCAGCTTATCACCCAGTGGCAGTTGCATTATCAACTAATGACAGTGGCAGAGTGTGGTATTAGGTCAAACTGGAAATGTGGGCCAAACTGGGGGAGGAATCGATTTGGATTCCAATGGATGAATAGGATTCCCCCAAACAGGCTGGAGGAACCAAGGGTCTGGGAACACCTTGGGCCAAGGCCAGAGGTGAGAGAACTTTTGTGGGGGGTGTCAGACAAGTGTGGGTTGGTGAAAGGGAAGGTGAGCTGGAGTTGTGGACAGAGGCTGCACTGTGCCAGGCCTGGCCGCCATATTGAGAGCTCAGACTTTATCCACAGGACAGACGGAAGCTGTGGAGGGGAGACATGAAGAGTTAAGAGCTTTGAGAGAGCTTCAGGAGGAATTCAGACTCCATGATTATTGGATGAAGGCAGGGCTAGGGCAGACGGTGGGACTTTAAACAGTGAGAAGAAGCTGGGCACATTTGGGGGTGGCTGGCTGGAAAGTTGGTGGGTACAAGGCACCCTCTCCTCACCTCTCCCTAGGTATTCAGTGACATCGGTGCCATCCAGAGCCTGAAACGCCTGGTTTCCTACTCCACCAATGGCACCACCTCAGCGCTGGCCAAGCGCGCGCTGCGCCTGCTGGGCGAGGAGGTGCCGAGGCCCATCCTGCCCTGCGTGCCCAGCTGGAAGGAGGCCGAGGTCCAGACGTGGCTGCAGCAGATCGGCTTCTCCCAGTACTGCGAACGCTTCCGGGTATAGCGGCGCGTAGGGCTGCCTCCCGGAGTCAGAGCCTGCGCATCCCCAAGGACGCGTGGCCCCTCCGGGCGCCATGCACACAGGCGACCTTGCCCCCTCCTGTCCCGCAGGCCCGAGGCGCCAGCGTGGCCTTTTTGGGGTGGAGAGCCTGTACTCAGCAATTTTCAGGGTCACTTGGCTCTAATCAGGGTCTTATCCTCTTCCCCTACCCCTGTCTCCAGTTCCCTCCCCTTGCATCTTGTGCTTGGGGGTCCAGGGCTGAGATGGGGAGCCCTTCCTTCTTTCTTACCTCCGACTCCACCCCAGGAGCAGCAGGTAGATGGCGACTTGCTTCTGCGGCTCACGGAGGAGGAACTCCAGACGGACCTGGGCATGATATCCAGCATCACCCGCAAGAGGTACGGAGCCTCCTGCTGCCCCCCCCCACCCCGCCCACTCTCAACACCCCCTCGGCCACTAGCCGGTCTGAGTCAGGACTTCAGTGACCTCTCCTCCCTGGGGTGCAGATTCTTTAGGGAGCTCAGGGAGCTCAAGACCTTCGCCAACTACGCTACGTGCGACCGCAGCAACCTGGCTGACTGGCTGGGCAGCCTGGACCCGCGCTTCCGCCAGTACACGTACGGCCTGGTCAGCTGCGGCCTGGACCGCTCCCTGCTGCACCGCGTGTCAGAGCAGCAGCTGCTAGAGGACTGCGGCATCCGCCTGGGCGTGCACCGCATGCGCATCCTCATGGCCGCCAGAGGTCAGCCTGCCCGCGTGAGACCCGCCCCTGTCCCATCTCCATCCCTGGAGGGGCGAGGGGAGACATGTGGTGGGCCCCGGAGCCAGACGCTGTGCCAGACTGGATTCTGAAGATGCGAGGATGAATGTGTTGCACTTTGCCCTCAAGAAGTTCCCAGTCTGCTGTGGTAGGAAGAAGGCAGGCATATAAAAGGGGGTGACCACAGCAGGAGGGATGCCCTGTCCACCCAGGTCTAGGCATTTAGAGGATGTCTGACCAGGTCTTGAAGGATATACTGGGTGGGTGGGGGTTGGGGTAGCAGCAGCAGGACAGAGGGAGCCGCATGTGCAGGTGAGACAGACCATGGGGAGTCCATATGCGAGATATGGGTGGGAAGACAGGTGGCTTATTCTATTAGACAACAACTTGCACTAGAGATACTTTAGGGCGGTCATGAGGGCTTTAGCAACCCTCTTTATTTACTATTTAATTTACTAATTTACTATTTAGCTAATCTTTATTGTCAATTACTATATGCCAGGTCCTGTATTAAGTTTAAAAAAATTTTTTTTTATTGATTTCAGAGAGGAAGGGAGAGAGAGAGAAAGATAGAAACATCATTGATGAGAGACAATCATTGTACTGGGGATCGAGCCTGCAACCTAGGCATGTGCCCTGACCAGAAATTGAACCGTGACATCCTGGTTCATAGGTTGACCCAACCACTGAGCCAAGCCAACTGAGCTTAAGTTTTGAACAGTCATTGTCTTACTAATCTCTACATCCATTTGATGAAGTGGGTGTTAATTTTTTCAATCAACTTTTAAAACTGTTTAAAGAATGAAAGAAGTATAATTTAACTTAAAAGTGTCCAGTTTGAAGCGTTTGGAAACATGCCTACTCCTGTGTAAATACCATCAAAATCAGAGATAAAGAATATTTCCATCAAGGATGTTAATTTTAAAGATGATAAAACTAAGATTTAAAGAATTTAAAAGTATTTTCCAATGTTTAAAAGCCATTAAATAACAGAATTAGGATTTGAAACCCTTCCTTCCTGCTTCATAAACAGATAAAAGTTGTCTGTGGATGTTAAGTCTGAATATTATGAGAAGACTAGAGGCCCGGTGCATGACATTCGTGCACTCGGGGCATGGGGGACTCAGCCCAGCCTGCGTGCACCCTTTAGCAGTCCGGGAGCCCTCAGGGAGCGGGCCTAAGTCGCCACTTGGACATCCTTAGCGCTGCCGCGGAGGCGGGAGAGGCTCCCACCACCACCACTGCACCAGCCGTCAGCCCAGCTTGTCCCCCTATGGGAGTGCACTGACCACCAGGGATAGCTCCTGCATTGAGTGTCTGCCCCCTGGTGGTCAGTGTACATCATACCGACCAGTCGTTCCACCGTTTGGTCGATTTGCATATTACCCTTTTATTATATAGGAAAGATTCTTTTCATTCATGTATTCATTCAGCAAGTACTTACTGAGCTTTGTCCCATGCTTTTGCTTCAACCAAAGCAGGTCAAATTTGGTCATTTTTACTTTGCAGCTCTCAGGAAAGCCTTAAGAATCTTTTTTTTTTTTTTAAAGGATCCTACAGGGGAAAAATAGCTTACAAATATCTCTTCTACGGGGAGTAGGGAGCAATGACATGTTCGGACTTGGATTTTAGAAAGATTCCTTTGGTAGCTGTGCAACAGATTAGCCTGGGCGAGTGTGGATTTGGGGAGACCACTGAGAGGGCTAGAGTTGGGGACATAAGGAGGGCCCTGAGGCTGGAGTCTAGTTGTTTAGTAGGAAGAAGCCACAGAGCATGGTGCCTGGCGCTGAGCACTGAACATCAGCTCCATGAGGGCAGGGTTTGTTGGTTCTGCTCACTGCTGTATCCCAAGCATAAAACTGGGGCCTGGCACACAGTAAGCGCTTAGTAAACATGGTTGAGTGAATGGATGAGAGGCAGGAGTTGAGGCTGACACCCAGGTCTCTGACTGGTGGGAAACTAGGAGGAAGGATTTAGGATGTGTTGGGTTTGGAGTGCCTGTGGGCAGGTGGCTGTGCAGGTCTGGAGCTCCAGAGAGAGGGCAGGGCTGGAGGTGCATTTCAATGTCCCTAAAACACCACGCCTGCCTCCTGAGAGGGACTCATCAAGAGTTATCGGCCTTCCTTCCTGTAGACCCCAAGGGACGATGTACCTCATTATGAGTAATGGTGAGGGGCCACCCTCACCAAGCTGTCTCCTGTCCCCCTCAGAAATGCTACACTCCCCTCTGCCCTGCACTGGCTGCAAGCCGAGTGGGGACATTCCGGATGTCTTCATCAGCTACCGCCGGAGCTCAGGCTCCCAGCTGGCCAGGTGAGGAGGAGGGGGCAGGCAGGCAGCCTCAGGCCTTTGGGTGAGGCCAGCGCAGTGACAAACGGCCTCTTCACAGCCTCCTGAAGGTGCACCTGCAGCTGCATGGCTTCAATGTCTTCATTGATGTGGAGAAACTGGAAGCCGGCAAGTTTGAGGACAAGCTCATCCAGAGTGTCATGGGTGCCCGCAACTTTGTGCTGGTGCTGTCAGCCGGGGCCCTGGACAAGTGCATGCAGGACCATGACTGCAAGGACTGGGTGCACAAGGTAGGTGCTGGCCTACCTCTGTGGTCCCAGCCTTGGCCTGTGGCCCAGGGACAAGGGTCTCCTGTTCCTTCTCATCTGCACACCCCAGCAACCTCCATGGCCCAGCTGGAAGTCAGGAGTCACAGCTCTGACTGTAATAGGACTCCATCAAGTCACTGAGGCTCTCTGGACCCATGTCTCTCATCTACAAAATGGGGGTAACTTACCTGTCCTATTCACTTTGTAGGATTGTTGTGAGGGTCAGAGAGAGATGAACATACTTTGAAAAATAACCTCCAGGAGGGAAGAGGGGCAGGGGAGCAGAGTGAGAGGCACAAAGGAATTAAGAACACAAACCTTCTTCTCATTTGTGCAATGGAGAGGTTCCCCAGGAGTCAGTCGGGGTTGAAGTTATGCAGGGACTTTCCCAGGAAGGCTGTGCTCAAGGGTCTTGGCACCCAGCAGACTGCAAGGAGGGAGGCGGCAGGCCGGTGGTGGGAGCCTTTGCCTTGGACCAGTAACAAAGGCTCCATCATCGCTCCTCGGTAGTTTTTAGTGCTTAATTGCCTTTGGTTTTAAAACTCCTTTCCCTGAAGCCACATTTGGTGGGTAATCAATATGGAAAACCACAAGTGAACTGCACTCAGGGAAATCCAATCCCTGTGGTTCCCCTTTCAAAGGGAAAGAACCCATTGAATAAGCACTTACCAGAGCACCCATGAATAGTAAGTAATATTCTCAGAGCAACCTTGTGAAGTAGGTTTATTAGCCCCTTTACAGAGGAGGAAATAATAGCACTTATTATTTATTAAGCGCACTACAAGCTGGGAGCTGTTCTAACCACTTGCCATGGGATATGGTAGTTATTCCTTCCAGTGATCCTACAAGATAGGGACTGTCATTAACCCTCTTTTGTTGTTAATCCTCACCTGCGGATATTTTTCCATTGATTTTTAGAGAGTGGAAGGGAGGGGGAGTGAGAGAGAGACATCGATGTGAAAGAAACACACCGATGGGTTGCCTTCCGCACAAGCTCTGAGCATGGAACTAGGGATCCTGCAACCCAGGAATTGAACCCGCAATCCTTTGGTGTGTGGGCTGACACTCTAACCACTGACCACACTGGTCAGGGAAACCCTATTTTATATATGAGAAAACAGAGGCTTTGAGAGCCAGCTGTTTTTGCCTCAGGTCACAAAGTCTGTGTGGTAGACTCAATGTGAACCCAGATCTGATAATTCCAGAGTACGCTCCCTAACTGCTATGCTATGTTGTATCATTCATTTATTCATCCAGCCATCCATTAAGTATTAAGCAAGGGTTGATTATGGGCATGGCTTTGCGGGAGATACTGAAATATAACCTCATCCCTGCCCTTTTATCTGCTAGGGAAGACAGATATTAAGTAAATCACTCATTAATTAACTTAAATTTGCAACTCTAGCATGTGCTGCAGAAGCTATGAGAGCCTATAATAGGGGAATCTGACCTGGTCAGGAAAGTGAGGGAAGACTTCCCTGGGAAAGTGTTGATTGGCTGCAGATCAAAAAAATGAGTCGGCATTAGCACAGTGAAGAGGCAGGGAAGAGCATTCCAGACAGAGGAAATAGCATGTGCAAAGGCCCTGTGCAGGGAGGGAGGAGGGCAAATCTAAGGGGCTGCAAGGTCTGTGTGGCCGGGAGGACAGTGCAGACATGGAGTTTGAGAAGTGAGCTGTGGCCAGCCACGCAGGACCTGCAGACATTAAGGAGTTTGAACTTCTTTTCTGAGCCATGTAAAGTCCTGGGGAGTTTTAAGTAAGGAGTGACATGCTCAAATTTGCATTTTGCAGAGTAGCTGGGTGAAGGGGCAACATAGAGAACAAATCAGAAGGGAGCAAGAAATGGATGCGAACAGACCTGGAGGAGGATGAAGATAAGTGAGGAGGATGGAGCAGGAGAGTGGTGGGGTACAGGGAGAGAAAAACGGGTGGATTTGAAAAGTAAGAAAGAAAAATAAGGAGTACACTTTGCAGGGCTTGTGATGGATCAATTTGGATGCAGGGGGGTGTGATGTTTTTCTTCTGACACCAAATTGTGTGGGTTTATTCCCACACCAATAACCAGTTCTCCAACTCACCACCAACTGGGTGTCCCACAATTCAATTCAATTCTGATACTAACTACCCACAGGGAGTGTCAGACTCCACAGGCAGCAGGGCTCTGTCCCACAAGTCTGCCCTCACTTCCGATGCCAGTCGAAAGTCCCAGGTTCCCAGGCTACCCACACTTCTGACTTGGCTACAATTCAGGGGTTCCCATGACTCTCCACACCAGGTTCAATAATTTGCTGAAATGATGTGAAGAGCTTAGGAAAGCACTTTACTTACTGGATTTTTATAAAGGATATGAGGGCAAGGTAGGGGGTGGGGACGCAGGCAGGCGAGGCCCAGAGTGTCCTCTCCAGGACACTCTCCCAGCACCTAGATGTGCTCAACCCATGTTTAGGGGCTCTGATGGAGGTTTTATTATGTGGCTATGATTAAGTCATTGGCTGTTGGTGAATGAACTCAATCTCCATCCCCCCTCCCCTCCCTGGGGGTGTGTTGGGGCGAGGGAGCTGTAAGTTCCAACCCTCTAATCAGACCTTGATTCCCCCCCACCAGTCCCCATCCTGAAGCTATCTAGGTACCCTCACCCAGATATCTGGAGGTTAGAAGGGTTAGAAGAGCTCTGTGCTAAGAACCGAGGACAAAGACCAAGTATTGTTTATTCTACCACAAAGGGTGAGCGAGAAGTCGAGGTGGACTTTAGGGGACCCTGATCTCTTCCTCCTCCCTCCTTTCTCCAGGAGATCGTGACTGCTTTGAGCTGTGGCAAGAACATTGTGCCCGTCATTGATGGCTTCGAGTGGCCAGAACCGCAGGCCCTGCCCGAGGACATGCAGGCCGTGCTCAGCTTCAACGGCATCAAGTGAGGAGCGGGTGGTGGGTACACAGGCCCCAGCCAGCAGTTCCCTCTTCCCGGCCCTCTGACCCGCGGCCTCTGTGCCCACAGGTGGTCCCACGAGTACCAGGAGGCCACCATTGAGAAGATCATCCGCTTCCTGCAGGGCCGCTCCTCCCGGGACTCGTCTGCAGGCTCTGACACCAGTTTGGAGGGTGTTACACCCATGGGCCCGACTTAACCAGTCCCCAGTCCCCACGTCCTGCTGTGACCCCCATTTCCATGGTCTCCCTGGAAGGAGCAGCTCCGCACACCGGCCTCCCTGGGCTGAGACAGCCTGGGCCCTTCTCAGGAAATGGCTCTCCCTCTCCCAGACCCCCATGGGCCACCTCAAACCCAGCTTCCTCAGTATCCAGAAAGGGAAGCGAGGCATTGGGGGTGGTAAGGGTTAGACCACCCTGAAGCCCTGCCACCAGGTTCTCTGTCTCAGGTGTGGGAGGGTCACGGATCAGTTCTGGAGACACTGAAGAGCAAGGGTTCGCTGCACACAACCCCCTCTCCTGCCCTGACATCAGCCAGCTTGAGTAGGGGACGTCAGGCAGCCTCTGACAGGAATTCAGGCAATGCCCAGCCCTCCCAGCCCAGCGGCCTGGGCCTGGGAACCAGCAGGGATAAAAGTCCACTGGTGGCTCTCCACCTACACTGCGCTGGTCCCCAGGCTCACCACTTCCTGCCGCCCTGTGGCCTTGCCCTGGAATCACTCAGTGTCCTTAGCTGACCTGGTCTGGTCCCAAGTCCCTTCCTAGCCTCCCTGAGGCACAGCCTCTCTCGCCACATCCTGGGTCGGGATTGGCCTGAGCCAGCCCCTCCTCTGGCTGCTTTGCAGCTGCGGCTGGGTTGGAAGCACTCACAGGTACATGGCACTCCCTGCTCGGGCCTGGGCAGGGGCGACCATGTCTCAAAGGGCTGCCAGCCACCCTCCCATGCCTTGGTGCTGTGCCTCAGGCTCCTGCCCCCCCTGGCTCAGCTGGCCTCCCCAGCCCCTCCCAGCAGTAGCCTGGGCAGAGCCTGCAGCTCCTTGGGAGGAGGCAGTGTCCTGAGGAGGGGCAGGGGGTACATTCAAACCACCTGGGAATTTTGTTACAATTCCATTCAGGCGACCTGGGGTGGGGCCTGGATTTCTGCATTTTTGATTCCCAGGTGAGCCCATGATGGTGGTCAAGAAATGACACTTTAGCCAGGCTCTGAAATACAAACCCCTCACCCCCCTTTACCAGCTCCCCGGCACCCCGCTCCATGGTCTCCGCAATCATCAGAGCCATTTTACGTTATCCGGTGTGATCTCCGTTTTACCGAAGAGTCAAATGATGTGCCATTTTCTAAGCCATGAGTGGCAGCCCAGGATGCAGACCTGGCCTCCTGGTGCTCAGCCCACTGCTGGTGGCACTGCCCTCCTGAGAATCATTCTGGAGGCTGAGACCCGGCTGGGCTGCCGCTCCACAGACAGCTGGCTTCTTCCCTGCCCCAAAGAATCTAGAAGTGGGGATAGGTTTTTGAACGAGGGGCTCTACGGACATAAATGAGCAGGAACACCCCTCTGCCCCTTCCTCCAGGAGGGTAGGAAGGCTCCAGCTAACCAGGCCTGCCTCTTCCCTCTTGAGTAGCGTGTTCGCACCTGAAGGCTGGCTCAGCTCCCAGAGTGCCTCCTGCAGGTGCTGGCCAGGTCACTCTTAGCTCTTGAGCCACATGGTCAGGAAGTCAAAGGTCTCACTCCCCCCTCGGTACTTCTTCCACTCCCCTCCCTGCCAAAGACACTGTTTAGCTGGCCCTAGCCCCAACTCTGGCTTTGACTGCACTTCCTCGTTCATGCCAACAGGGGGCCCACCGCTGCCAGGCCCTGGCTCTGATGGTGACTAAGGCAGACTAGACATTGCCCTCACAGAGCAGACAGTAACAATACAGTGTAGCGAATACCCACCAGGAGCTTTCTGTCTTTTTGTCCCCAATGCCACTCCCTCCTGAGGTCCCCCATGGACAGTGCTCAGAGAGGTTTGCAGCCCTGTTTTTTCTGTTTGGCACACCCTCCAGTGCTGCCCCTCCTGTCTCTCTGGGGAATCAGAGCTCAGCCTCCCCACCTCCCAAACCCCCCAGCAGCTGAAGTGATGACCCTCCCCGCAGCCAAGCCTGTGTGTTCTCGGGACTGCCTCCCTGCCGTGACAGGGCAGGCACCTTGGCCACCTTCCACCTAGGCCTGGCCTCACAGGCCTGGCCCTGAAGCAGAGAGCTGAGAATTAGCCTTTCCCCCAAAGCCTGCTCTGACGCAGGTCTGCAGGGCCAGGGTTTTCTGCTTGGCTGGACTGTAGCTGCTGTCCCCACGTTGACGCTGAGTCAACTAGGTCCCTACCCCACCTCATCCCACGCCTCCCCAGGGACCAAGAACTGCTCAGGGACACTCAAAGATCGAAAGTCCAGCTCCAACTCATTTATCCTTCCCCCAGGTCCACAAAGAGAGGCATCTCATTCTAGAACATATGAGGCGGAAAGGATCTCAGAATATTACCTCTAACCCAGTGTTTCCTAACCTGTCCAACCATGATCAGATCTAGCCTTTCGTAGACGGGCTTGCTCAAGGTCACCCGTGAACCAGGCAGTGGCTGGAGTAGAGCCCAGGCCTGAGCCCAGCCTAGCCCAGCCCAGCGCCTCCCTCCCCCGGCCCCCTCCTGCCTCATGCTGGGACAATCAATGGATTGTCCTCTTCTTGCTCCAGTCTTCCAGTGACAGAGGGAACAGTGAGGTGGGAATCTAGAAACAGGCCTGGACTGTAAAGGACACATTGACCTTGGTTTGCCCTAGGCCACACCCATTTTACTTGAGTGATTTCCAGCCAGAAAACTGACTGGCAGGGCTGGTAAGAGAGAATGGGGTAGAAATGGCATTAGGGGGCTGGACCCTGTGGCCAAGTCTGGTTTGAAGAGTCAAGTACCACCTGATCTGGGTCTGCTTGGAGGCTTATGGTACCTTAATATCAAATCCAATTTTGCCTTTTCAACTTCAGATCCAGGCTGAGGGACGGTCTCAGCACAAGGCCCGGCTGAAATACCTGGCGATGGGAGGTGTTGCAGGGCTGAGTGATAAAAACTAATTCTGTTTGGGCTGTTGTTGCCAGGGGGACCAGTACTGGCGCCTTCAGAGAGCGGATCTAACCCTCAAAATGAGCGGCCAGAGCTCTGCTCCAAGCCTCCCTGCTTGGCTTGATGCAAGTCTGGTAGCCCTTCATCTCCCAGCAGCTCAGGAGAAGAGAATGGGCAGTCAGATGAAGTCTGGGCTGGCCACGCCCAGGACCAATCTCATGGCAGCTCAGGGGCTTCTGCCCAGCCCAGCAGCTGCTGTCTGACTCATGGGGGCAGACGGGACAGAAAATAAAGGGCCCACAGCCCAATGCCTTGGGTACCAGACAATTCATGTCAGTGTGCTTATACTGATTTATTATGATGGTTGGCACTGCTAAGCCCAGGGGCTTGATTCCCCTGAGTCCGTAGCACTCTCTCTCCATCCCCACAACCCTTCCTCCCCTCGAAATATTCTTCATTAAGGCATGGCTGGTGGCTGCTCACGATGAACTGTGAGCTGTGTAGTTTGGGTTGGAAGCAGAGATGCCAGCTCTCATGCTTCAACTGGTCCCTGAGGCATCACCTCCATCAGGACCTCCTCTCTCCCCTGGAGGGTTTTATGTAATTGCATAGAGGATGAACAGAGACCCCTGTTCCAAATGTCCCCCCTGCCACTGCCTGCCCTGGAGTCAGACTGTCTGGGTTACAATTCCAGATCCTCAAGTCATAGGCTGGCAAGCTTTGGATGAGGTGGGGGCCCTGGTCTAGCTTGACCACCTTATCCAGGGTGAACACTGCCTTTGAGGGGAGCTGCTGCTGCTGCTGCTGCTGTGGGTGGGGTCCCAGGGGCATCCTTCCAGCTGGTTAGTGCCCACTTCGCCCCTCTTGCCCTCTGTTCTCACGTCTGGGCAGATCAGGGGCTCTGGGGAAACTGCTGGAATTCAGAGCGAGGCTCAGTCTTTCCAAGAATCCTGCGAGAGACCAGAGAGAGGGTTCAGATTTGACATATGAGGGAACCCTCTTCAACTCCTGAAGAAGCGACACCGGCTTTGTTGGGTGGGCCGGTACAGGTATCCCCCTCCCAACAGAGAGGTGAAAGGCAACGTCCTGAGAAGAGGGCTCTGGAAAGGGAGTCGGAAGGCTATGGGGGCAGAAGTCAGTGGGCAGGCTAGCCTGTGGCCCAGCCACAACCAGCCGAGGAAGCTCTCCGGCTTCCCTTTGGCAGATTTGTCGCCATAGTTCCATCCGTAAAATGCGGATGGAGGGGGACGAAGGGGAGAGACCAACCTTGCCAAGAAGCAAGGTTCCCCTACTGCCCCCCTGTCCTGCCCTCGGGAAGTGGCTCCAGAGGATTAGGCAGCCATCTGCAAGGGGAGAGTCAGGCTGGGCCTGAAACACCCACAGGAAGGGGTCCAGGCGGCCATTTCTGGTCGGCAGGAGGAGGAAGAGGGAACCTTTGGGATAAAGAGCACATGAGCCTGGGACAGAGTCCTAAGTTACCCAATCAGAATGGCAGGGATGAAGAGGAGGCCAGCTCCCAGGAGGAAGGGAAACCCCTTCATGAAGTTCAGGGTGGCTGGGTAGAGCGAGTTGAAGATGCTGGAGGCCATCAGCATGGCCAGGCCATTCACACAGGCCACAGCAGAAAAGAGAGCACCTGTGAAGAAAGAAATATCACACTGTGGAGTCTGGAAGACGTATGTTCAAATCCTGGCACCACTGCCTCGCAGCTGTGCGAACTGGGGCACGTCACTGAATCTCTCGGAGTCTCAGCCTCCTCACCTGTAAAGCCTACGTCATGTGTTGTGATAAGGTTTCAGTGAGGCCATTTATGGAAAGCACCTGGCACACAGGTGGCTGTTGTTAAATCCATGCAGCCAAAGTACATGTGATTATCTTCGAGCAAAAGCCTGAGGAAAATGGTTTTTGGTTTAACCCCTTCAGAATCATATCCTGCTTGAGGTTCCTCGTGGGGCTAATTCCCAGTTCCAACACTTATTAGCTGTGTGGTCACTGAACAAGTGCTTAACCTTCTGGGTTCTTGCACCCTTTTTGTTACATAAGGATTCTACCTACTTCATAGATTGGTGGCAACATTGAATTCCCATGTAAAGCTCCTATCACAGGGCCTGGCCCCTGGAGGGAGCCAGTTAGTAAGGGCTGTTCTTTTTTCTTGTTCCCCTGGCACCTCCGGGCAGAGTCAAAGTGCTGGATAAAAAGCTTATTGAGTGAATGAGGGAAAGCACCTGGTCGGCTCCACGTCCTCCTTCCAGGGCAGATGGGGAGAAGTGGATGAGCCAGATGTTTCTAGATTGAGGTCTGAAGACCCAGAGACCAGAGAAAAGCTCTGCTTTATAGTTATGCCAGCAGAACCCAAATTTTGTGAAATGAGCAATAATCCAATGGAAGTTGAGATTAAACTGTCAGACCATCAGAGCTGGAAGGGCCTGTAGATGTCATCAAGAACAAACCACTCTTGCCCTGGCCAGTGTGGCTCAGTTGGCTGAGCATCATCCCGTGCAGAGGTCAGGGCACATGCCCAAGTTGCAGGCTTGGTCCCCAGTAGGACGCGTGTAGGAGGCAGCCTGATCAGATTCTCTCATCATTGTTTCTCTCTCTCCCTCTCCCTTCCTCTTTAAAATCAATAAAAACATTAAAAAAAAACAACAACACTCTTATATAAATGAGGAAACAGTCCCAGAGAGGGAAAAGAGACCTGCCTAAGATCACACAGCCGGTGGGTAACAGAGCCAGGACTAAAACCCAGATCCCAGGACCTGCTGCTCTTAAAAACAGACCTGGGTTTGCATCCTAGTGCCACCACTTACTGAGTGACCCTGAGTAAGTCAATTTAATCCTCTGGGCCTCGGCTTCCTCATCTTAGGGACAATGAAACCTACACCACAAAGTTGCTCACGCCCTCTGAGCTTGTACGCTCTGACCCCAGTGAAGCAGGCAAGCTGGCATCACCGCATCCATTTTACAGATGGAAAAGCTGAGGTCTGGAGAGGGCAAATCCTCTGTTTGGGTTACCCAAAGACCAAAATGGTGCTCTGTTGACTGTAAATTCCAACTCTGTGGTCTGAAAACCCCAGGCACTGTGGTCCTCTGCCTGCCCTGGGCAATTTGTTCCGAGAACATTGGGCACAAGGAACCAGATGCTGGTTGACCATGACACTTACCCTGCTCTGACTTGCTCACCAGCTTGGAGAGCTTGGCCCGGACAATGGGTGTAATGACTAAAGACAGGAAGAGGAGCCCGTACCCTGTGGAGAAACAAACACCAGGAAGATGGGGTTAGGGAGGGGGGTGCCCAAGCAAGATGTAAGCAGAGCTCCTAGACCCCCCCAGATGGGACTCAGGTTAGACACAGGAAGAACTTCCTTGATAGAGAAGGACACAATGACTAAGGAGGAATGGAGACTCCCCTTCTCAAGCTTTGGCCTACCTGCTACCTCTTTTATGAATAAACGCTGATTCCCCACCAATGGCATTTTTGTCAGAACACCTCTTGTGGTCCCACATAGTAGGGAAATGGCAGAGCACATAAAACAAGCCCAGACTTTGGAGGCAGCCCTGAGTTCAAAACCTGATGCTATCACTGTGTGGGCTTGGGCCTGACTCCCATCTGTAAAAGGATAACAAGGCCTTCCCCACAGGATGATTCTGGAGTGTTAGGAGGCTGAAAAATGGCCCGAGATCAGGTCCTAATCCCTGGAATCTATAAACGTTGCCTTATTTAGAAAATGAGATAAAGTTAATAATCTTGAGATGAGGAGATGATCCTGGATGATGACAACCTGATAAGTTGGGCCCTAAATAATTTGACACGGACAGAACGGAGAAGGCACACAAATGAGGAGGCA